TCATATCCGGAATGGGGTCCTTGAGTATGGAACTCGGAATTTTATTGATGGGAGAATAAACAACCCGAAAGTTAAATTTCTGCAAAATATGTGCAACTTTATAGCTAATTGATGGAAAGAAGGGAATGACAACAGAATTTTTATAATCTCCTAAAACAAGAGTGTGCCTTTTAGTGTGTTGAGATGAGAATTTTTTAACTGCTTGATTAATAATGTTGGGTGAAAGCCCCTGTCAATAGCTATTGCTTTTAAATAATTTAGTTCTTCATCAAGGGCTAGTTTGGAGGAGCAAACTTGAAGAGCACGGAAAACATAGGAATAAAATGAAGCTAACTTTTGTTTAGTCGGATGACATGATTTAAAATGTGGTGGAAGGAAAACCGATGAAGGTTTACGGTAAACCGTAGTACTGAAGTTGGATGTGTTACGTGTGACCAGAATGTCGAGAAACGGAAGAGAATTGCAAGTCTCAAGTTCAAAAGTGAACTGAATAGCAGGATCAATAGAATTCATTGTTGAAAGAACTTTATTTAAATCATCTTTATTACCTTCAAACAGAGTAAAAGTATCGTCTACGTAGCGGAACCATGCCGGGAAGTTTAAAGTTTCAAACAATTTTGATTCATAATAATGCATGTAGATATCAGCCAGGATGGGACTGAGGGGGCTTCCCATGGCTAATCCCTCAGTTTGCTTGTAATATTTATTTTGGAAAAGAAAATGTGTTTGTTTCAAACAGAGTTGAGTGAGAGAAATTAGCTCATCAATTTCGATGCAAGAAAAGTGAAATTCGCGAAGTCTGGTTTCTAGACATCTTAATGCACCCTCCACTGGGACATTGGTGAATAATGATTTTACATCAAAAGAAACCATGAGTAAATTACTAGGAGAAATGTTTTCAACTTTTTTTACAAACTCTATTGAATTTTTTTATGGTGTAAATGTTATTGTCTAATAGAGTTGAAAATCTAGAACTAAATATTTAGCTAATGGATACGAGGCAGTACCTAAATTTGATACAATAGGGCGGAAAGGAATACCACTTTTATGAATTTTGGGAAGAGCATATAATCTGGCACAATTCGCAACAGATGGGATAAGTGAATGTTTTTAAGTTGCCTCCTGAAATGATTTGCGAAGATTTGATCGCAGTTTTTATTTTTGACAAGTCCGAAGGTGAAGGATCTTTAGGGATCGGATTATATGGTCCTTCGTTTGAGAGTTTAGTGACACCATCAATGTAAGTGTTCTTATCCATGACGACTATCTGGCCACCTTTGTCGGCCTTTGAAATAATAATATCCGGGTTAGAATGAATTTCACGCAATGTAGCTCTTTCTCTCGCATCAGCGTTATATTTACAAAATTTTCACAGGACTAGTTTCGATGGTTTTACCGAACCACATCTTCAGCTGCAAAACCGCAAATGAACAAGATAGGAAATAATGATTAGAAAAGATAAGAAAGCCTGGACAAGAATAAGCAAGTGGCGCCATCTGTTGGTGAATATAATCCGATCCCTAAAGATCATTCACCTTCGGACTTGTCAAAAATAAAAACTGCGATCAAATCTTCGCAAATCATTTCAGGAGGCAACTTAAAACATTCACTTATCCCATCTGTTGCGAATTGTGCCAGATTATATGCTCTTCCCAAAATTCATAAAAGTGGTATTCCTTTCCGCCCTATTGTATCAAATTTAGGTACTGCCTCGTATCCATTAGCTAAATATTTAGTTTCTAGATTTTCAACTCTATTAGACAATAATATTTACAACCATAAAAAATTCAATAGAGTTTGTAAAAAAGTTAAAAAAACATTTCTCCTAGTAATTTACTCATGGTTTCTTTTGATGTAAAATCATTATTCACCAATGTCCCAGTGGAGGGTGCATTAAGATGTCTAGAAACCAGACTTCGCGAATTTCATTTCTCTTGCATCGAAAATTGATGAGCTAATTCTCTCACTCAACTCTGTTTGAAACAAACATTTTGTTTTCCAAAATAAATATTACAAGCAAACTGAGGGATTAGCCATGGGAAACCCCCCTCAGTCCCATCCTGGCTGATATCTACATGCATTATTATGAATAAAAATTGTTTGAAACTTTTAAACTTCCCGGCATGGTTCCGCTACGTAGACGATACTTTTACTCTGTTTGAAGGTAATAAAGATGATTTTAAATAAGTTCTTTCAACAATGAATTCTATTGATCCTGCTATTCAGTTCACTTTTGAACTTGAGACTTGCAATTCTTTCCGTTTCTCGACATTCTGGTCACACGTAACACATCCAACTTCAGTACTACGGTTTACCGTAAACCTTCATCGGTTGGCCTTCCACCACACTTTAAATCATGTCATCCGACTAAACAAAAGTTAGATTCATTTTATTCCTATGTTTTCCGTGCTCTTCAAGTTTGCTCCTCCAAACTAGCCCTTGATGAAGAACTAAATTATTTAAAAGCAATAGCTATTGACAGGGGCTTTCCACCAACATTATTAATCAAGCAGTTAAAAAATTCTCATCTCAACACACTAAAAGGCACACTCTTGTTTTAGGAGATTATAAAAATTCTGTTATCATTCCCTTCTTTCCATTAATTAGCTATAAAGTTGCACATATTTTGCAGAAATTTAACTTTCGGGTTGTTTATTCTCCCATCAATAAAATTCCGAGTTCCATACTCAAGGACCCCATTCCGGATATGAATTCCTGGTCCTTGCCAGTGTGGTTTAATTTACATTGGACAAACTAGGAGAGCCTTAAAATTTCGCGTCAAGGAACATGAGGCATATGTTAGAAAAAAGGAAACACAGAAGTCTTCTGTTGGTCAACATTGTTGGTCCGAAAACCACACTTTCAGTTTTTCTGCTGCCAAAATTATTCAAAAAACATCTTCCATTGGAGAACTGGATTTTCTAGAGGCATTTCACATTCATAAAAATCTTTCTGTTCTAGTTAACGATCCTAATTCCAATCCAAATTTGCCTTCGGCCTTTAAAGATATTATGTTTTAGTTCTGGTTTCACCAACAGATGGCGCCACTTGCTTATTCTTGTCCAGGCTTTCTTATCTTATCTAATCATTAATTCCTATCTTGTTCATTTGCGGTTTTGCAGCTGAAGATGGTGGTTCGGTAAAACCATCGAAACTAGTCCTGTGAAAATTTTGTAAATATAACGCTGATTTTTGTTGTTTGACTTCTGAATTAAATTTATTCGGCGTGTTATTGTGTCTTAATTGGTATGTTATTTGAGAAAAAGGTCCCATTTTATGTCAAAATACCTTTGTTAGAACAATGCTATATAAAAATCTAATGCATATCCTATGTCGCGCTTTCGAGACATGGAGAACGCAATTTGAATTTCGTCAATCGACCCAGTAGAACGGGAGATATATAACTCTCTCCCTTTTTTATAGGTTATAGGTTTTATAGGTTTTTTATAGGTATTTATATTATAGGTTGAAAAATCTGTAGAATCTGAATTTCAGTATCTTTAAAGAGATTAATTTAACTTTCATACTACAAAATTGGAATTTCAGCTACAAAATTGGAATGAAATGTTACAAATTTTATTGCAATTATTAACATGTCCTTATCATTCATAAAAGGAGTATTTTATTCCAAAAATTGTTGTAAGAATCTTGTTAAATGGTAAATGGGTTTTACACCATTGTACGTTAATTTGAAATAATTTTTTATTGCGCCCACGATTTTCCAGTTTTTGCAGGAACAGAAAAATCAAATAACAAACCATTTCTGAGTCGTTTCCTAACGCTGAATTCAATACAGATTTTGAGCAACTTTTATATAAATCAATCATACCTTTACAAAGATAAGTGAGATTTATCTGGTTTACGTTGTAGAGACATTAGGTATTTTTTTTTTAAATGCAGGCAAGATGAAAAATTAGAAATCGCCTTCGCCGGGAATCGAACCACGGACCTATCGAATACCGACCTGCTAGGAAGGCAGGAGAAATACCTTATATACTTCCCCCTTTTGAAGGGCGACTGGGGTTTTAGGGGACACAATCACCAAACCCTGGGTAAGGAGAATCATCGTCCAACACCCTTTTTAGTTCGGGCCTCACTGTAGAGATATTAGGTTTATTGAAAAAGCCGGAGAGATGAAAAATGAGCAAACGCCTTCGCCGGGAATCGAACCGCGGACTTCTGGAATACCGGTCCAATGTTCAAACCACTACACACGAAGGCACGCTAGGAAAGCGGGAGAAATACCTTAAAACATAACAGAGAGATGCACGGATAATGCAAATGTATATAATACATTGTATATATGACAAAGAAATGGTGCGTATTCAGATTATTTATATCTTATATAAGCAGCAACTGTGTGTGATATACATTTATTTGAAATTAATTTTATAATATATATGTATTTTTTATTTGCTTTCATTTAATTAAGCTATGACAAAGGACTGTTTTCTCTAATAGCTAAGAAGTTTTTATTTTGATAAAGATATTTAGCTAGGTGTTTCAAATATAAAATTATGAAACTGATAAACAGGGAAATTATAATACGCTTACACTTAAAACATTTATCGATAATCGGAATATATTTATTTGGTAACTACACGTCAGGATAGCTTTATGAAGCAAAGCATCAAATTCGCATTTATTATTGTCAAAGAAAGCAAATATATGAATAATATTTAATCTCTTAAATTCCTCACTTCCTTCTTAAGTATACAATTTATATTTTTAAAGACTGAAAGATAATTCTTCAAAAATCTATATATTATATACATTACTGATGGAAATGATAACAGAATGCAGTATTTATCGTTTCCTTTACGGTTTCCATTTTTAAATTCGCTGTGTTCCTACGGGTCTTGCTTTCGTTTATTTTATATAACATTGCATTTGAGTGAAGTTTACTTGCATATTGTATTTACCTCTAATGGATAAATTTTAATTGCATTATAATGTAGTAATGATAATAGTTCTGAATCCAGTATTATGATTTCTTTCAGGTTTTCGGAGAATGGAAGCTTGGTCCTATAGCTTGCAAAATCATCGTATATGCTCAAATTGTAACGCTTGCCAGTACTACCTTCATTCTCACCTCAATGAGTTATGACAGATACTTGGCGATATGCCGCCCGCTGAGAAGTACCGGCAGCTTAAAGCAGGCAAAACGCCTGATCATAGGATCTTGGTTGCTGGCATTTATCTTCGCAATTCCGCAAATCTTCATTTTTGTCGAGGTATCTATATTTTTTAATTTTTGATTTCAATATCGTTTTGTTAATTATAATATTTTAATTATTTAAAGGCGAATTTTATGCACTTAAATTAATTTCTTAATTTAAATGTTCTCATTTAAAAAAGTTATCCTACAAATGAAATCCATTATCTTCAATAAAATCAAGAATCGTATCGTTCACCAAAAGTAAGGAATGTACATTAATAACAGTGTCCTCCAGCTACGTAATAATATGTCGTTTTCTGAAATATTTTAGATCCATAGAAATTGAAATTTATTCTCTTGGAACTCGCATACACCATCATATAAATATGCAGAAGTGTAATGACAAATTTAAGAGTCCGTGGCAATAGCGAAGCAACTGAAGTCTTTGATTATAAAAGAACACAGTGTAGGAAGAGCCACAGAACTGGTTGAAAATTAGAAATGATATTTAATTAATATATTTAATAACTAACAAATAATATTGAACAATGTTTAATCATTAACTAATAATGAAATTTGATAATTTGATTGTTTAATATTATTTCTGTACTCTAGATAACTTTACATCGATTCATAAATTACTTATATTCGCTATCACTAAGTGGTAACATTTAATTAAGGCCATAATCATCTTCAGAGCTTAAAATGACGTGAATGCATCTCCGGTTGTATTATAAGTCGTACTGTTCTATTTCTTTTATCTGTGTTTCTGAGGATTTCTTTGTGAACATTCACTATCTGGACTAGCTTTAATTTTTAAGTCCTTTAATTTTAATCATTTACACCGGATTTGCTTAAAAAATATAACGAATTTAAAGAAAATACGCAAATTCCTTGAGGTTTCACATAGAAAGAAATTTTGGAATAACTAGGAACAACCACATCATATTTCGGGATATGGCACTGAGATTAAAGTGTCTGAACATGAAACATGAACTCTGGAATTTGGAGGTGTGACACATGAGCAACATGTAATAACATAGGTAACAATGTTAACAAAAATGACAGTATGGAAACTTAAACTAGATCATTTACACAGAATTAAGATACATGACGTTGTGGTAAATGTGAAAATGTCGCATACAAATGTCACTGGCAAGGTGTTTGCCTCCCCCACCTCTGACGTCATTTATATGCAGTATCCGAAATCTTAACATATTTTTTGAACACAAAGATTTCTCATCTTGCAAGTTTCGAATTCATAACTATTCATAAAATTGCGATACAAAAGTCTGTGTTACTGAATAGATGTCAAGTGTTTGGAGTTAAGTCACAAAATATATAGACTATATAACTTTAAGCTAACATAGAACATTTATGCCCTTTATTATAAACATTAAAATTTCTGCATTTACATTAACATAATTTATGTGCTTCTTATTAAAAAAAATAAAATAATGACTCTACTGTGGCGCCTGAATTCAAAGAATTTCTGACTGGTGAATAATTCGTCACCAGTCGCTTTAAAAAGGGGGGTATATAAGGTATTTTCTCCGTCCTTCCAACAGTCAAAGCGCATAGCTGTGTAACGGTAGTACACTCGGCGCGTATTCGAGAGGTCCAGGTACGAGTCCCGGCGGTGAGGGCATTGCTTATTATTTCAAGTCTCCTACTTAAACCTAATGACTCTACAGTAATCAAATAATGTTTTACAGCTAAGTGAAACGATAAAATGTATCGTAATTCTTTACTAAAAATCACTTTTTTATTCATAGAAAAATTACCAGAAACATTAATTTCATTCTGCTATTAACACTGTTTTGTTCTGTGTGGAATCAAGAACTTGGATCTGTTTAATGAATCATCTATCCAGTGCTAAAGAAATTTCTAAAAGCGCTAGAATGCCTCATTATACCTCTCTTCAGGCATCAAATGTAAAACTTATGGTCGATATCACTTCAATAATGTGCTAAAAATATGAATTCTAGTAAGAGAGCATAGTTTTATTTTTAAATAATTCATTAGAAGCTGAAAGGTTTATTTAGGGTGGAAAACTTTGGATTTGTATTTAAGAACATTACCAATATATGCACAACTAACTATGATAAAAAGAAACGGAATGAAACAAGCTGTGGTCCGTGAACATGAATTATGAATTTTCTGTATCGTAGAAACTGTTACAATAATCAGCCTAAAAAAAAAAGCCTTTATTTAGATCAGGGATTCTCAGCTATAGAATTCTAGGGAGTGAGAGATATTTTTATTATTAGTTTAAAGTTAAGTTAAATATTTTTTAGAAATTACATGCACGACACGTGGAAAACATATTTCCTGTGCATGAGTCGATAACATTTTCTGCGTTATGTACACTAGTTAAATTCTAGGTACATTCTGTTGTGATTCTGTGTTCATGCCCTGCTTATTCCTTCTATCTCTAATAAACAATGAGTGCGTTATTTTTCTTCTGATCAACTTGATCCATATTTTAGGTATACTTCCCAAATTATTATTTACGATCATGAGATGAAAGCGTATGAAATAATGACTATTTGAACCATTCGTTTGCACTGGAAGAAATAATGATGCGCAAAAACCCCGGTGCATACTTTCTGACGCTGTCTTTTCAGACTAAAATCTGAACCCGCCTACACTGCTGGAATAAACAGCCAGCATGGTGGTAAAAATTTTGCAGACCGTGATGTTGAATCATTGAACGCTAAAAGAGTTAGATTTGATTCCCCAGCTCTTCAGAGGTTAGGTTTTACCCCAATTGAAAAGCCACTGCAAATAGCTTCATACCACATAACGCATGAAGTAGCCAAATGCAGGAAGCCCATAAAGTTGGAAAATTTACTCTCATGCATGAGTGGTGAACTTCTATGTTGGACGAACATGGCAGCGTAATAAAGATTTTCTTTCCATGGTCAACACATGTTTTATTTGCCATATCTCTTGCTTTGTGTCCATTCGTTTGGACTTACAGAGTTGTAAGATTTTTTTGGAGGAGTCTTTTGTGAACCTTGCGCATTTTTACACTGGAATTCAGCCACTGAGTTTTTATATGAATTGGTTTTCCATTACTTGTGTTACGAGCAATTTCAATTTATTTTAACATCATTAGCAACATCATCGTTACTAAGTTTCAAAGTTAGTCTATTTTAAGTTGTAGAGGCATTAGGTTATTTCGAAGCATGAGTCATGAAAAATGAGCAGTGCCCTCTCCGGGACTCGAACCATGGACCTGTCGAATACGCGCCAAGTGTGCTGACCACTACACCACGAAGGCATACTAAGAAGGCGGGAGAAATACCTTATAAGGTAATGTATTTCTTATCTTGTTCCATAATTTTATCAACAGATATAATTCATCTTTCTACCTTTCCGGCGTTTTGCTTTTTCTTTTCTGTGTAAGCCCACAGTACAACACAATTTGCAATATAATATATTATTAGCAGCAGAATATTTTTACAAATATTTACTGTAAAGCTTAGAAAGAAATCGAAATAAATTTGAACTTTGAATTTTGATGAAATATTAGGAATGATTTGGCTTCAGGTTAAATTAACTTAAAAGAACCGTGCTTGTAACTAGAATACAGAGTATCTTTGTCTATGCACAGCTGCATATGCATCAAATATATGTTATTATATTATATTTTATAGGAAAATTATAAAAGTTATTATTGTTATTCCTTATAAAAAGTTTCATGATGTAAATTAAATTTTAAATTATTATGGATTTTGGAGTAGCAGAGAATAAAATTTTTAAATGATCACAATTCCTATTTTGATTAGTTCATATTTTGATACTGAATAAGAATATTAAAATATTTAAACAAATCGACCTTTTATTTAGACCTTTTAAACTTAAGATTTTATTAATTATCTTTCTTCAAAGACGACTACAGATGTCGAAATATTGCGTAAACAACTGCGAGAGCTCATTAATATTCAGAAATTTAACTCAGGTTGGATTATTAGAAATGTTACTTTTTCATCTTTGCAAGCAATAGAAAACTGTACTCATATAAATAAAGAACTTTTTTAATAATTAGCCTGTTATTTACTCACATTTTTTGGGACAGCATGATTTTTCAACTTCCTTGTTTTTAAAGTAGAGGTATTAAAATGCATTGATTACTTTCGTTAAAAATTTTAATTCCTTTTTAAAGAAGCATCCAGTGACTAAACTAAAGATGACAGCTATGAAATTTTTTCTTTCATATTATTGCTTATTCTTGTGTCCAGCAAAATGTTTGACCCTTAGATAATTTATTTCATAATAAAAGCTTTCATCTTTTGAACATAGCATTGATTTTGTACTTATTTACTTGTTCTTTTTTATTAAATTTGTTATGCACGAAGTATTTTCTAAAATAAATTTTCTTTTCCCCTTACAGATAGAAGAACCTGATCCAGATATTTACATCATGCGTCTCAAATGTGAAAGTAAGGGATATACAGCTGGATGGCAACGTAAGCTATATTTTTCATGGCTCACTACCTATATCTTGATTATTCCTGCCATATGCATCTCCTATTGTTACATCAATGTTCTGCGCACTGTTTGGAAAGCAGCAAAGGATCAACACCCACAAGGCACTTCTGTATTTCTTCGTAGATCCCAAAATGCAGCAGCCATGATACCACGAGCTAAAATTAAAACTCTTAAACTAACCATTTGCATCATTGCTAGCTTCATAATCTGCTGGACCCCTTACTTTATCGTAAATAATATCCGAATATATAGCGACTACTCTATCACAATCTCGAAAAGTGTCATACTTGGGGTCCAAACCTTGGCTCTGTTCAATTCTGCACTCAACCCTGTATTCTATGGGTATTTCAACGTGCATTTAAGGAAAGATTTCAGAGAAATTGTTTACCGCAAGAGAGATCTTGGCGCTTGCCTGGTGGGGCAGTCATGTGCTGCTGCCGTTCCTGGGGATTCATGGGATACCACTTATTCCGCTTCCATGAATAATTACAACTCAGATCCACTCCGACGACAGAAATCCTGTAGCTCAAGATTTGACGGCAGAATATCGCCATCCTTTGATTTTAGTTCCAACAGACCAACAACTTGCCGTTGCTCTGAAGTCTAAATTGGTAAACATATCACGCAGCTCATTTATATTTCATAAGTTAGCCCTAAATTTTCAGTCTATTTCTCTTATCATAATTGAGGTAAATTCTGTTTTAGCAGTAATAAAATAAAATTAACGGATAGTTTGAATTTCATGATAAGTAACATTTCCTGAGCTGCTAAACAAACGAGTTTATTTTTAAAGAAAAGTCACAACGTTGTAATTCATATCATTATTTAAATAATTTGCATAAAAATATTACAAAAAAATGAAAGGAATCTTTAAACAAATTGGGTACTTTTCCGTTTTGCCGGCGCAAGTGATAAAGTCGCCAATAATGGTACAATTGATGCCAAACGAATATTCTCGCTGGTAACCTTTTACGCCTCATTCAGATAGTTCAGTTTTATGTCTAAGGCCATTTTCGGTAATTAAATCAATTAGGATGCAATCACAGTGCTTACCCGAAGCCAAAAGTATCGAAAATGTAAAGTCAAGGGTTAAATTCATCAATTCTAATGAGAATGCATTAGCGAAGTAAAGCACTGCAGTTTTACATAATTTCTGAGTAAGCTATTCGTACGAATTGAAGTATTTCTTGCATTTAAACTTGTGTTCCAAATTAAGATTTAACTTGAAATTAATGTAGATAATTACTGAGAGCATTATATTTTTGTAGAGTAGTTTACGTGCGATGAAATCGCTTGGGGTCACGTGATATGAACCGGCGAAACAGGATGTTGAACCATGAAAGCATAGTAAATTCTTAAATTAATGTCTTTTTACAAATTTATTGTCTTTATTTATTGGCTTTTTGTAAAATTTTAAGCGATATTAAAATGTTTTTATGCCTTCAAAAAAAAAAAAAAAAAAAAAAAAAAAGAATTCTTAGAACTAACATTTTTTTAATATTTTTTTATGTGTATACTGTATTATGTCGCCAATAAAGTCTGCTTGGCGAGATTTGCGCCGGCGAAACAGAAAAGTACCACAAATTGAAATTAAATCGTAAAATTAAAATGTTAAATAGTAAAAGGAATAGATCGCGTATAAAAGAAAATTAAATTTCACATTTTTGTAACCTAAATTTTACATTTAGAATGGATTAAAAAAATATATCCTATGAGCTTGTCAAGGTATTTATTTACGGAATTGTACTTGATATAATTACATTGATAAATTATTTCGAGTTATTGCAATAGTAATGTCGCAAATGGTTATGTTAGGAGATTTAACTGTTTCGAATCCTGTGATTAAAAAAATGTAATTTTGAAGAATTGTGACTTTCTGTATTATGCTGAATGATCTCATATGATTTAGCTTTATATATAACACCGCATAAATTATATATAACAGCTATTTTTATAAGAGATACCATCTCATATACCTTATGTATTTGAAATAAAAAAAAGGAATGGTGCTCAGCTACATAAACAGGTGTTGTAGTATGAATGATTACTTGAAAGAAATAGCCTGTAACCTGCTTTATCTTATTTAATTATGGATGCATGTCATAAGTTCAGTAAAATAGTTATATAAATTATGTGAAAGTGCTATAATTACGTTAATTTTTATATCTTTATATCTTTTATCTGAGATATGCCTATTTCTTTAAACAAATGCGTATTTGGCGTGTTTTAAAAAGCCATGCTAAATTACTGCTGAGCTATGAGGAAAAATAAACATTTTGTCAAAAGTAATTTCTTCATACCGTGATAAGATGTATATGGTGCGTTTAATAATAAAATATCTAAAGAAATCTACGAAACGAAGCTTCTAAATAAAAATTTATTTAAATTAGAGCTTATTTATACTTAATATCCGATTTTTATGAATTTTACACTGTATCACTATTTTCATTAGCATCATATCACGGTATAATAGCAACAATTCGTCTAAGCATTCAATACCTTAATAGCATTTCGCTGTGTTTATAACTAATTCTGAAGCCTTAGTTGTTTCTTGAAATGTTTTGATTCATTTGGAAGTCTAGAACTTCATAATTTTATTAATTTTAATAAAATATTTTGCCGTTAACACTGTACTAAAGCTTCAAGCTTAGCTTTATGGTATTTTATGAAAATCTTAACATACTTTTTAATACTTTAAATTTCTTTAGAAGACTTTACAAAAATATAATGCATTTGTAGACATTGCAGTTCGGTAGATCAAGAGATAAAAGGCGTCACAGACAGGCGTTTGTTAAACGTAATAAATTTTATTTAAAAAAACGATTTATTTAATATTTATGACTTCCTTGAAAAACACTGTTTGTAAAATGCTGAGCAATATTACACTTTGATCTCCTTTAGTATAAGTTACATATAAATATAATGACCTCTTTTCCCCTCAAGATGTCATAAAACGAGCACTTAAACCTTGTCTATTAATTATGATATTACAAATATTATTTTGGGGAATAAACAAGTGGAAATCATGGTGCTGCTGTGTGTATAGAATGTTGGAGTTCTTGGATAAATTTTATCTTATGTTATGATAATGTTATAAAAATGTTGGTGGAACTGCGATTACCATGAAACATAAAACTATCTGCTATGTCTTGATATATTATTTTGGGGAATAAACAAGTGGAAATCATTGTGCTGCTGTGTGTATAGAATGTTGGAGTTCTTGGATAAATTTTATCTTATGCTATGATAATGTTATAAAATGTTGGTGGTACTGCGATTACCATGAAACATAAAACTATCTACTATGTCTTGATGTCGAATGCTCCCTTAGATGATTCAAAAGCCCGAAAGTCAGAAACGCTGTTTAACTTGAGGTTGCTAATATCTATAAAATTTCTAAAGTTTAATAAGGTCGTCGCATATGAAAGGATTTTTTTTTATTTTTCATTCATATTAATTGTGAAATAATGCTTTCCTAATAACCCAAAAAATATGTCACTGAAAGTAAAAATAAGACACAGATTGTGGAGAAATTGTGAATTCTTGTAAAAGCAGATTTATTAGCTTTGCAACTGTAACAGAAGAAATGTATAAGTTTCTTTTTAAGGAAACTAATTTTTTATTATTAATTTCTTTCCTATTAGATTTAGCTTAATTTATCAGACTTTTCGTAATTTCAGTACGTTTTACTTGCTGTGTTATTGCTAAATTTATTTTAGAGATGGCACGTGTAATGATAGAAACACATCATTATTTGCTTCTAGTATCCAACTTAATTTCAATTTAGTCATTAAGAGTATAGTTGGTCAGAATGAAATTGGTGTAAATTGCATCGTATACATTACATGCAATCAAGATCATACACCTGCAACGAGTAAAAAAATTGACTTTGTTAATAAAAGAATAAAATGTCTTTATCAGATTCCGCTGAAATAAAAAACTTTTAAGTTTTGAATTCAGTTGAAACAACTTTTGAAGCCTTCTACTTTAATTCTGTTTATTTTACAAGTACCATAGTTGTAATGGATTTCAAACCTGTATGTAAGTGTTTTCAAACATGAATATTTCATAACGATCTTTTCTCTGTGTAACTTCCTGTCAGTTTATCAGATTTCTAGATATTATTTGTCTAGCTTGTATTATTGATATTGTAAATGTGATTGTATGCCCTTAAAATACGTGTATTGTTGTATCAATCTTTTATAATAACTGCTATGAAAACGTTTATTAGAAACGACATACCGTATTTGTTCTATGATGCATAATTATTGATTTCTTTCTTAAAATCTACAATGAAAAATGATAGATATAAAATATAATAATAAAAAAGCAAAATTACATACATAAAGAAATAAATGCTATTTAAAGCACTGCTTTAAACAATATTTTACAGCAGGATTCTTATTCACATGCATAGTACTCAAACTGTGTTAAAATATAAGCTTACTGCAGAATATGTATATGGCGCTATTCAGTATAATTTACCGGAGATGTTTATTATTTGCTATATTCATTATGCATCACTGACTAAAAATTCTCGCTTCATCAAGTAGAAGCATGGATTTTACTCAAAAAGAATTTGAATTTTGACATATCCTGGGCTTCAATTGCGAAACGACTGAATGAAAACTTGTTCTTTTAGCATGGGGAATACATTCTCAGGAAAACATCAAATCTATAGACCGCTAGAAGTTGCAACTAAAGAGCCAAAAGAATAGTCCCCCACCCCCCCCCCAAAAAAAAAAAAAAAAAAAAAAAAAAAAAAAAAAAAAAACCTTCAATTTTTTTTTTTTTTTTTCGTTTAAAGCTTCAAATTTTGGGTATATCGGTACATACCTCTAATTGACATGTATGTCATATCAATGCTGAATTTCAAAATTTTTCTGTCTTTGCTGGTATATCGATATTTAGTGATAATGACAGGGCTTGCTATTTTACTAAAAATACTGTAAGGCTTCTAAGACGAAATTCATTGACAGTATTAATTACACACCTTTACGTTTTGATACTTATGGAGAATTTGATCGAAAAGATAATGATATGACAACAAAAGAGAAACTGCAATTTCTAGTTGGACAGTTTAATACCGTATATATGCATGTTTAGATATATTATTGACCGAAATAAGTACTGTGCATGTGGCTACATATGCATTTATTTCTAGAATATATCGAATAACGATATGTAAAGTTAAGTTAAAAACAATGAATTTGTTTAACTATCAAATTGCTTTTTGTAGATATCACCAACCACTGAAACATTTCAAAATACCAATACGTATGTGACTTTAAACTCAGAGTTCAGGAAAATGATTGCTGTGATTCAGAAACATGGTTGCAAATTTGAGCACAGGCCCACCAGCGGCCAAGCGGACACTGAAATCGCTGAACACTGGTAGTTCGTTCCGGGGCTCTAATCCCGGGGAACGGGCTGGCTGCATGGCGTTTTCGTGGTTTTTCCCCTTGCATGACGTAGATATGAGCCAGTTTCCCTTAAAAGACCTCCACGGGGCATCCCTCCCTTTGGCGAATGCCATTGTGTGCGTCGCCATAACAATAATAATAATGAATTGATCATGCCGTGTAATGAGAGTAAAGGACGCTATGGAAAGTGCGACAGTTTTCATGGCGTTTCTTTTAACTAATAAGCATTATACCACAATACCAAACAGATTGACTTTACGGCTCTTTTTTTTTTTTTTTTTTTTTTTTTTTTTTACAGGCTGTATATTTC